CTCCTACTGGGAATGCCTGATTTCAAAACGACGTCGGCTGCAGAAGAACAACGCGTCCCCCAAGCGTGTTTCTCCTGCTGCTGACACGAGGGGCAGGACAGGGCTCTTGAGGGTGGGAGAGCTCATTTGTTTGGTTTTATTCCTTGCTTAAAAGGTTCCAAACTAGAAAAACAACAGAAAAGAAAAAAGAAAACCACCAAGTTTGTATAACACGAGAAATGCTTATTAGATGTTCTTATTTTCTCTTCAGGCCACTGGTTTTGTATTTACATTTTCCCCTTATTGCAATATAAGAAGTTTCCTTTAAAAATATTTAAACAAACAAAACCCATCACATTTATTCTGTTTGCATTCATTTCAGAAGACAAAGAGAAAAACCTCCAGGCCAGGAATATATTACATAAAATTTGAATCTAAGGTGTGGAAATGAAGTGAAATTTTCTACCAAACTACACCTGCTCAAGAGACAGAGCAGGTGTAGTTTGATTTTCAGCTCAGCTTGAATTCACTACTCCTACCCAAACGTGTAACCAATAGCACAGAATTATAACAATCAGAAAATATTTGCAAGATTCCTCTTCTGGAGATTGCAGTGGCACTGACTTCATCAGGAAATGGTGTGGTGGTGTAAATCAGACAGGTGCATTTTATCTACCTTCTTATGCCCATATGCGGGAAACTATCATGGTACAAAGGACACAGTGAGAAAGTAGAGGGCATCAACCAAATTATGCCTTTCAGTGGCATGTCAGATTATAGCATTAATTCTTGCTATATGCAACTAAACAGGATATTTAAGCTTTTTAAGCCTTCTGTAAATTGAGTGTATTTAACCACCAAATATTTTTATATATATGCATATATATATATATATATTTTTTTTTTCTTTGCTGGACTACTACATTTTGCTGATGCTTTTCTAGCAGCAAAGTGACTACAGTGGTATCCCATTCTTAGAACAATAATATTAAGCATGTAGAAGACTTGCTGGCTTTCAGCCTCCTGAATTAATGGTGAATAAACCTCATTAAAACCAAGCCGTATTTGGGCATAGCTGTTTCTCTACTTTATCTGCATAGCTAATATGCAACATGGAGTTCTGTTCAATACTGTTCAGAAAAATTCAGGGTAAGCCTGATAAGCCAGGAAGTGATGCATTGTGGCTCTAGCATAGGAATATGATCCCAGGAATGCCTTTATATTGGAAGCATTTAACTTGCTATTTCTAAATGCTCCTGGACATGTGTGCATACTGCTCTACATGCTACAGCACATGTATTTCCACTCTCTCATTTCACGCAGGTAGGTGAGGCAAAATGCAGTTTAATAAAGCAACAGCTACAAGTAGCTGTTCAGAAATGGATCCTGGCTCTTCCCATCTTTGACATTATTTCCTCAGACACAACCTTAATGCTCAGACCAAGATGTGACAGTGGGGCCTATCCAGTAGCAGCAAAGGTCATGGGTTTGCAAATATAACCCATGACAAATGTTTTGGATACTTAATGCTCAGAGCAGTGTAAACCTAAAACCTGCAGCTAGTAGGCTAGGATGATCATCTGATCTGCCAGCACTGCCTACCTTGTTGGTTTGGGTTGCAGATTTTGCCTGGGGCAGAGCTGTCAATCGCTGCCTGCCTCAAGTTCCTGAGGGCTTTAATAAACACAATCTTGCAAGTGAAAAAGAGCATGGGTGTGCCTCTAACTATACTAATTTCAGAGGTGAATTTGGTAGGTAGGCTGCGTGGGTCAGGAGGAGTGCCATCAAGAGGAGGCCACAAAGCCTCTTTCTCATACACTTACCTATATGCTTATCTTTCCAATCTAATCCTTTGCATTTAGGGGCTGGACCTTTCCCAGCCAGGCTCTTCCATCTCCTATTTGATGGCATAGTCTCCTGGGGAGCCAGAACAGTGACAATCTCATTTCATTGTGTAACTTGTCTGTTCTCATTTCAGCCCGGGTCCTAAGGGTCATTATCATTATTACTACTCTAGTCCACACGGTCCTCCAGCAACGAGCTAATCCAGCCATATTTTAAGAGAGAGTCCTTGCCAGATGAACTTAAAATCATTATAGATAAGACATAGCAAGTATGGGAGGCATAAAGGGAAGTTATTCCCATTTAACGCGTGAGCAACTATGGCAGAAAGATATTAAGTGATTTGCTGCAGGTCACCCGGCTAGGATACTCACTGGAGCACTTTCCCCTTCATGCTACCTTTCCCAAAAGGGTATGGGCACATTCCTAGGCTGTGCAGGCAGCACTTCCTGGCTAATTCGGAATGTCAGTGGTCTCCATAACCAGCTCTATCACAGCCAGTTCTCATGGACTCCCATTTAGAAGAAGGAGGAGCAAAAGAAAGAATATAGCTAATTGGACTGTATTCTTTGAGGGCTCTTTTGAAACGAGGACTCTCAAGGAGAAAAAAAAAAAAAGTTCTTGTAAGATTGCAGCGTCAAGCTGTGCGCTAAGCCGCAGTGATAGGCTAAAATAAACAGCTCTCTCACAGTCCCAAGAAATTAAGCTGACCGAAAATATTTTTGGAAGACTTTTGTGGGGCATGAGCAGGCTTTGCAGGCTGCTTCTCTCACCCCGCAGTGCTGGTAGGCACCTCCGGAGCTCCCCCAGTCCAGGGACGGGCCCTTCGGAGCGTTTCGGAGCAGCCCCGGCCCAACGAGCCCCTTCCTGCCTCGGCCTTTGGCTCCCGTCTTTACGTAGCGCTCTCAGATCCCCCCTGACAGTCGGGGGTAATGTAAGAATGAACCTGCAGCCGATTAATTGGAACCACAGAGCAAATGTTACAGGTCAGCTCGCTAGTGCTGGGACTTTTACACTCCCCCTCCCATCTTTTTTTTATTATTATTTGTTTTCCCCTCACCCTCTGTCATTCATTTTTGCTCCCTAGGGACAGCCCATGGCAGCTGCAGGGGTGAGAAGAAGGAGGGCAGAATGAGACATCCAGAGGTCCCTAAAGAGCTGGTGTTATCAGGTAACCCAATGCCCCTGTCTAGGTTTTAATCAGATTGTGCAACTACCCCTCATGAGCTGAAACGGACTCTGCAGCACCAAGTTGTGTGATTTTTGGCTAGCTGCACGGAAGCCCAAGCCAGATGGTTTCTCCTCATCTTCTACTCCTGCAAAATAACTACCATACAGAAGAACCGCTTAGGAATCTTCTTCAGTAACAACCATTTGCAAAGAAGTACAAATGGTCCCCTTGATTTCAGCCAAGGCTCCTCTGCAGCACACAAGAAAAAAAGTACAAGTTAAATATAAAACTGGTCACTTTTCTGTCATTGTGTGGCTGTTTCCTAACATTCATCCTGCAAATAAAGCTGTGAAGGTCAAGCTAGCTGGGGTATTTTCTCAGCTCTTCACCAAATCTTGAACATTTTCACATTTAGACACTCTCTTTCCTTGACGCTGCACCTTGCCCTTCCTCTCTTTTTCTCCTGTGTCTGTCTGAGTCTCCTTTCTTATAAGTCTTACATGAACTATCTCTAGACTCCTTTCCCAGTACATCACAAATACACCACTCCAAGTCTCCCTTCCCCTATGCCTTCTCTGTGTCTCCTCTCCCTTTCTACTTCTCAGCAATCGTCCTTACCTCTCCTGCCAAAAAGCGTCTTGCAGACCTCAAGATACTTCAACCTAAATGCTGCCCAGGACCCCCTCAGGCACACATATGGCTCCAACGTATGAACTTTGAATTGGGCAGCAATAAGTGACAAGCAAAACATACGACACTGAACAGCAGCTACGAGCAGAGTTAAGGAACAGGCCCTACACAGGAAACATTTGCAATTGCTGCTCTGAAAGATATAATAATGCCAAGGCAAGGTCAGGAAAAGTGCCCTCTGGTTTTAGCACCATCGCTGCTTCATGGGCTTCTTTCCTTACATTTAGCATGTGGTTTTGGATAATTAAACATATACAGATCACTATGAAACATAGGTCAGATAACACAACATTCAGTACCTGGAGAAATACTGCAGCAGGGGACATATTACATGAGAATTTCCGAGAGCTATAGAGATGAGAGAAGGTGAAAGAGGGGCATAAAAAAGGAACGATGTGAAGGGGAAGTATTTGGTAGCTTGTTTGAGGGCTGCAGGGAGGAAGAAGGAAGCAATATTAGCCTGTAGGAAGCCCCACATTATTTGTGTGTTTCAGTTCTCAGAAGCGACCAGAACTTTGATGCTTACTCAAATGTTAAAATTTCATCCATCACCTCTTGCTGGTCTCGATAGTAATATTAAGTTCTTTTACAATTCCTAGGAAATTTTAAACAGCTCATTAGGATCCCTCAAAACAGTTGGACAATCCTGGGCACAGGGGTATACTTAATCTCATACAAAGCGGCCCATATAATTCAACCAAAACTTATAGATGCTAATTGGAAATGGGATACACTATCTACTAGGTATTACAAGTCAAAATATTCCCCTTCTGTATGAATACTTTATGGCAAATGCAGACACATGGTAAAGCTGGTAATGATAACAAATAAAAAGCAGGGGCTCACAGTGTGGCAAGAGAAAGAGCAAAACTTTCTGCTTTTAATGTAAATGCCTCCTCATAATCCGCATTTCCCTGCTATGTTTTTGAGCAAGCTTGCAATACTCACTTCAAAGATGATATAATTTTCCCAAGCCTCTCCCTCAAGAGGTGTGTGGTTTATAATGTAGTTTACCTAAAAGCAATGACTTGGAATCAAACCCTGGCAACAGCTGTTACACGCTTTTGGAAAAGCAATGCTGTTTTTTGAGGGTTTTTTGCCTTTTATTTTTTTTTATATGGTGACCTTTTCAATAGTTTAGAAAACATGTCTTAAAGTGCTGCCTAGTTTCTAGCCCAAAGGTTGGAAGGTAACAGAGAGGCAGCAACCTTGGGTTACTACCAGGTAACAGAGAGCAACCCGCTTTCACACAGCATCCTTAAATGCTTGCTTGAAGGAAGCAAAAAGGGCAGGAAGGGATCGATGCACAAACACTCACCCGTTTGTTGTTCTCCTCTTCTTGCGCCTTCCTAAACTCGTGCTCCAAGGAGCAGTCAATGTCGTTGAAGAGGCCCACTTCCTCACAGTTCTTCAGAAAGCGTGTTGGTGTAGGAGTCTGATCTGAGAATGGGAGAAGAAATAATCATTGAGATGCAGCACACAAAGGAGAGGGAGACAGAACCTTGCTTTTTTTAGAAGACGGTTTAACTATTTAACTTGCCAATGCCTTCCCCCTCCTACACATCATCACTGCACATCACTGAAAACAAACCACATGGCACTGAAGTTTGACATTGCGTGCTGCAGACAGACAGGGACTGCCCACAGCCATCATTCAACCAGACAGACAACAGGACAGATTTTCAGACAGCACGTAGCACACAAGTGCCCATCCCTAACATGTGCAAACGGTCATTAAAAGTAGGCAGAAAACCCCAATAAGAATTGCATGTAAAGCAACTCACGGCACCTATGTTAATGCGTATTTACCCTGGAGCACACAGGTAACTGTGGCAGATGCACACTGGTTACACCTTCACCCCTTGAAAACCACCTCAAACATTCACAGCTTTATGTTGTGAAATACACTGCAAGTAAGCCAGGGTGCAAAGATGTCCTGCGCAGTGAATTGTTCCTCACACAGTTTTTGAAGGGGTGAAATGATATTTAAAAAAATATATCATGCAAAAGACATAGTACATTTAGTGCATGTCTTCATCTCTAGGCATTTGTTCTCCCCCTCAAAAATATTTCAGAAAGGGTTAGTATTCTCTTTAATGATACAAGGAGGGGAGGCCCAAAGTACAAGGTTTTCAGCCTCTTTTCCCAAACCGCTAAATATGACAAGTAAAATTGCCCAACAGATTGCTGTTTTGGGGATAACCCCAGTCAGTCTTTCTCTGGAAAGAAAAACTGAACCCAGATTTGGGAACCAAGAACTCTTCGTGTAAAAATCAGCTCCGAGCTAACTCCATACATTTGAAGCAACTTCCGAACTCCTCCACCTCAGCCTCCCCATCCCCAAATAACCGCAAGATAGAGCCCAGCTAACAAAGATAGGAGATAGTCCACATGGTTCCATCAGATTTAGACCCCAAAACAGTGACATTCCAGGCAAAAGAAACTTAGAAAGCAAAAGGCTCCAATCAAGCAGCAAAGGAAAGAAAAATCTCCTCCATCTTAACTCCTCATTTCCTCGCTCCCACATCAATTCACACTGCTTTGCAGGACCTCATCTTATGGAAAGATTGTCCCAATTCTCTTCAGAAATCACCTCTGCACAGTCACTTATAACTCTCCGATTGTGAAATTCATTCTGCTAAGAGTGAAAACAAGTGCCTGTCACACTAATCCCTGTTGCCCACACAGGGCCAAACCTGACCTCAGGCAGAAGGCTCCCACTTTAGTGATCTCTGGGGATAAAAGCTTAGCTGCTTGGGCCTGGCTAAGACGGGTCGGGCTCTAGTATTTCCCTGTTGCAGGGAACAGTTAGACAGAACCAACGATCAGCATAGAAACACATAGCAACCCCTAAACAAAAGGAATGTGTACAAAAGGATATAGAGTTTCCACTTGGAAATTAAGGGGTGGATCCTCCGCTTATAAAATCAGCATGAAGCTTATTTCCACCTCTAGAATGTCTGGTCCTACAGCTTTGACCTTTTTAAAGCAATTTAAGGGCAAGGCTCCTGGTCTGCATGTATATTTCAGACGGAACATATTGATGTAACGTAAGAAGCTGGCCTTAATGTTACAATTCTGGTTTTATTTCTTTTGGCTTCAGCATTATTCTTGTGAGCTTAAAGGAAACAAGACTCAAGTGTTTGGGAATGCACTCATATTTATCTATTAGTTTTCACAGCTAACTACTGTATTGCCAGAGACAGAAACATAAGGCTTTCCAAGAATCTTGCAGGAACTCAGCGTAAGGAGCTGAGTCAGTGAGTGAATCCAGTGACATGAATGGGAGCTGAGGGCATGCAGCACTATACAGGTCTGTGCCCTAAATACGTTATTCCAAACTAATCTCTAGGGTAACCTCACCAAACTCCATGGATTTACACCAGAGTTGTCTTTGGCCCTTGGGCTGCAATTTGTACTGGAGATGAAACGCACTGAAAATCCAGAGTAATAGATTTCATTTACAGAAAGGATGAAATACTGCTTCCAAGACCAAGAAAGGGTCTTCAAACACACACAGTCTTCACTCTGCCTCTTTTCCAATTAATTTTCTTGATTTATTACCGAACGGCCTTAGAGCTGATAGATTAGTAACACTATTTACACCACTTACATATGGACCTGGTATTTGTAAGTGATTACCTCAGTCTCCCTACATGGTTATTGTAGTTCCTCTGCTCCAGCAAACAGTTCAGAACAACATTTCATTAAACAGACAACCCTCTTCCTACTGCCCCAAAAATCAAACAGAGAAAGAAGGGCCCACCCAGCAACCACCCCAAACCCCTCTTGCAGACCTCCTGAAAGCCAACTAAATCCAATGGACACCAAGGCCAAACTTTCCACCTTACATTACTTCATCTTTCAACTTTCATAAAAAACAGAGCTCCATGACGCCTCTGCATTTTTATGATGGTGTAATTGCCAAAAAAAAAAAAAAATCAGACTTTATAATGCTTGGACGCTATATAGTATTGGGATTGGGGTCAGTTTGGGTCAGCCCTAGATATCAAGATATTTGGCCGCTATCCTGAGCAGCCATCCCAGTTCTATTTATCGAACAAAATCCTCCCATCCACAACGGTGACTCCAGCTACTTTACCGTGTTTTCAGGCACCCTCCTCTAGCCAACTGTAGCTTCTTTGCCATCCAGTGACTGCTTAGAAAGTTATTTCTATTTAGTCTTTATCACTAGGTTAAACACAGAACCCATCAAACTTGCAACTAGGCAATAAATATCTTGTTTGGTCTACTACTCCAGTGAGTAATCTGCCTGTTTGTTTACACGGCCGTCATTGCAGATGGGCTGCAAGACATGTTAAGTTTAAACAGATTTTAAAAATCCAACTGGAGAAAAAAAAAAAGAGTAAAAAAAATAGAAAGCTTGTAGTCTAATCTTTGCAGATTCCAAGGCAACCTGTTATGTTTTATAGGAGAGAATCTGAAAACATCTCAACAATTAGATTCTGGATGGAACTTGCTATGCTGAATATAATTTGGGTGCTAACTACACCCAAAACCTTTCCCCAACCACAGTGCTTGATGTGATGACCTCTGATTTTCTATATTCACTGAAAATACCGCAGTAAGGCCATGGAAAATTTGGAGTTTTCAGCAAAGTGTTTAAAAAAAAAAAAAAAACCACAACACAACTAGATATTCACTTTGGCTGTGGGGTTTGGGGATTTTTTGTTTGTTTGTTTGTTTTGTAATTACTGAATTAGTAGTCGCTTAAATGAGACTCAGCTCAATAAGCTGTTGTCAAAATAGCCTTAACAAATACAATCCTATGAAATGCTGCATTAGCTTGTTATACAGAGGGTTTATTTGAATCACCTACCAGACTGCATTTTGTACAATTAGCCTGGATCCTGGAATTTCATCTCTCAAAGCATGAATGGAAATCCTAAAGCATGATATTAGTTTAAAAAAAAAAAAAAAAAAAAGCTGGAGAATTAAAGAACAGCTATGCTAACCATGGTTTATTTGGAAAAAAATAAACAAAGAATTTCCAGATTTTTAAAGTTTATATTGACCATTAAACTACTGCAAATGTTATTCATCCCAGCAAAAGATATCCAATACCACAGCTCCAAAGTGAGTAACTTGATTCTTCATCTTTTTAAAAAAAGTGTTTAGTCTCATGTGCAGTAATAATAGACATTTGGCTTGTTCAGCTGTGGAGCTTTGTTGAATTTATATACTTACCAGTGTTATACTTTCATGCAATGATAACAAAGCCCAAGAAATAGGACTAGCACTGAAAATAGAAGGGCAAGCTCCAAGAAAAGGGGAATAGTCTGAGAATTTCAAGGAAGTTTCTCTGTTGATTGAGCAGGTTACCACCCATGTGTGCCAAAACGTGCAGGTCATGACACCTCAAGTGATGGATGAACAGAGTTGGACTCAGTTGTACCTGATGGGACTGCCCTTACAGAGGAGCTCACAGCTGAGGGCTCCCAAGAACTTTGCTGCTAAATTATTCACTATGGACTGACTGGACTTTCTCTGGGGGCACATACATTGGGTACAACATGTCTTTAATCCCTTCTGGTCACGCAGAACCTCCTCGGCTGAATTTTAGAGAGGAAAGGGGGGAAGAAAAAAAAAAGTGCAGCAGACTTTCCATTCCATTATTCGGTAGAACCAGGAATACAGAAGTAAACTAGAAATCAGACAAAAGAGTTTTGCTTTATATCCACTCATTTTGCACCCTACAAAATTGATACCTAGAAAGCCCTCCATTTGTAAATTAGAAAGAGGAAGAAAATGCGTGAAACAAGTTACTTCACTGACACTGGCATTATCTGCAAAGAGTAATATAATTTCACTACCTGTTGCACACTCCTCTATGCATCCAGAGCTGACTATTTCTTTCTCCATAATGGGATTTACCTTCAAAACTGCAGAGGATGGGATTTCAATAGATAGAATCAGGAAGAATCAAGCTTTCCACATGTATGGATAACGCTGGCCTTTCTTCCAGCGGCTAGAAACACTTTTCGGAACGAATTCTTTTCGCCTTAAAGAGGGCAAGCTTTCATTCCCTCCTCCTACATTTGTTACCGAGGGAATCTCAGTGTGTCCTTTCCCAAAATTCAGTTCAACACAGCTGCTAGTACTCACCTGGAGGGAGCAATCTGTCCCACAGTCATTAATATTTCAGCGTTGTGAAAACACACAAAAAACTTTGGACATGCACAAAATGCAGAGCTTCACATCAATGCAATGTTTAGTCAGCACGTCAGCAGAGTGATGGCTTTTATTTTAGTCAAACTAACTAGGAAGTTTCCTGCAGTGATGACTGGTATACAAAACTGAGACAGATTTGATATATTATCATCTCAGACAGTTCTTCCTTGACTAAGTAAGGAACATGAAAATGGAAACCATAAATGACTCTATATCCGTAGTCAAGCAGGCTTTTGAACAAACAAACAGACAAGAAATAAACACACAAAAAGGAGTAACTAACATTACAATCTTATTACTGTCTTTTGAAATGAATGTCAAGTTATCGACAGAAGAATCACTTGTGTTTTAATGAAATGCCTCTAATGGACTTCCTTTTCATTGCAGTCAGAGGACATAGCTATTTAGAGTACATATTTACCTCGAGTTTCTGAATTAGTTTGGGAACCACCAGACATAAAAGCTCTTGTAAATGCAGCAGAACTAGTTGGTAACAAGGAAAGCTCTTGGCTAGACATATCTGATAAATCAGCATAGCACCAGTGGCTTCAACCAGGTCACGTATAATCAGATATTAAACACTGACCCTGCCCACAAAACAGCTTATTTTGACTTCACCTCTCACTTACTAATTTGTATTTCATAACCTGGCACACATTTCATGCTCCAGAAACAGGTTCCTGCTTCTTGAGTCATGTTTTGTTTAGTTTCTAAGATGTGTTGCTACAAAAAATTAACAGGCCTGCAATTTTAGTGACTCTCTCCAATAATAGTTCGTAGAATACAGGATGGCTATTGTGTCTTAAACATTAATGACATTAGAAATAATTGTAATGCTACCTTAAAGCATACAGGATTTTTTTTGTTCATTAACTACTTTAAAGTTTTCACATATTTTTAAATACTGAACAGATTCAAATACAAAAGGGCACATTAAAAATACAGTATATAATATACTCTAAAAAAGGAGAAAATCTGACTTCAAGGCAGTTTAAAACACACACACACTAATGCTGCACCTGGCTTATTGTTGAGCAATTGCTTCTTTGGAGCAACTGATGACAGAAACAATTCCCCCTCCTCCTCAAAAATCAAATGAGCAAAAATGCAAAGAAACAAGAAGGAAGACATGAAGACAAATGTCTAAGAGAAAAGGCTGTCTCCTTTTCCCATATATCATTAAATTTTCATTATGAAATCTAAGAATAAAACATGTTAAACTTTCAGGTATTTAGATTTCCTCAGGGTTTAGGTGGGTAATGTGACAACTATTCTTCAATGTCTCTGAGCAGAGAGTAGAAGATCTACGATGCTACCAAACTAAGGCCTGCAAAATGCCAAACAAACCCACCAAATGAACATAAAAGAAATATCAGATATGACAGCACCAGGTTATCAGGCCATTTTGGTCAGAAACGCTCACCATAGTCCTGAGAATATGAGCAGCTTTTTACTCTGTCATTACCACAAAGGATATCCACACATAAAGCATAAAAAATATACCCCTCAAACACAACATTATAGTTGTTTTGGCCACAAAAATCTGTATGTTTGCATCCCGAGTTGGCTAACAGCAGGGCAACACTCCTGATGGGAATCCTGGAAGCCATTCAAAGCATTCCCCGGGAAAGCAGCCCATGGAGGGCCATATGACAGAAGTTACCAAACATAAATGGAGCTGTTGCACTCAGGGAACTCCTGACGGCAGAACACACTCCTCAGAAAGTGCCTTAGAGAGGCAGTTGTTGCAAACAGAAAGCTCTGTGGAAAGTGAGCACTTTCACAGGGGGAATGTGCCCAAAGTGCAGTGTTCTTCAAGTAATTTCACTGTCAGAGGACACTGCCAAGCACGAGGGCAGCATTTTCTCACGTGTGCTTGCAAACACAGGATTCTGCGGGCACAGCCTGGCATGCACATACTTTACAGGCCCTGCTCTCTAATGTGCTGCATGCTGTGCCTTTCTAAACTTAGTCTGTTATGGCATTTTCCAGAGTAAGATGAAAAGAAACTTAATTTAGGATGGGGGCTGTCAGATTTTTCTCATGTACCTAAAATCCCAGAGGGAGAAGACAAACAAAACAAAAACCTTAATGAAATAAATGCAAGCAATTGTTACCCATATATGATTTCCTAGGGTTTATCCATAAAATAGTCAGCCTGAGAGCCCCCCAATTACTATATTTGCACACAGAGTGGTCAGAGATGAAGTTTTGCTGAGAGTAGGTCCTCTCACGTGGCAACAGGCACAATTTACCTATAAAAAGTCTATTTCAAAAGAAGAGTATCTAAATTTGACTAACATCCACACATACATTTGTATCGAAGCTTCTTCCCCCCAATTACTTTGAAACCTGAAAAAATGTTAGTGACATTATTCCTAAGCATCAGCTAGCACAACCCAAAGAATATAAAATAGGAAAGCAAACAGGAGAGGAGAGAGGCAATGAGACTAGGATGTAATGCGTGTAAATTTACCCCACAATTACTGAAGCTAGCAAGCCCCCAACATATAATTACTGAATGCTAGCAAGACCCCAGTGTGTGGACACTCACGCAGCAAAATGAGAAAACCACATCAGAAAGTATAAGCTGGAATTGCACATAAGAATAGATCTGCACCCCGCAACATCTGCACATGATGGGAGAAGTGGAGAGGGATGATTAATTCTGGGGGGAAGAGTGTTGGATATTACCCCCTGTTTTACCTTTCTTCAGCTGGAAGATTTACAGCTATTTAAAGTGGGCAAGTCTTTACAGAGGTGACTCTCATGATGTGGCCTATTACGGTTGCTGAAGGGAGCTTGTCAAAGTTAAAATAGTGGGTCTTGCAGGAACCCTCTAATTGCACTTCATTAACACGCTCAGTGCTGGGCTCCCAGGTGACACGCTCTTAAGTGCCCGTATTTCACAGGCACGCTGACAGGGGACGCGGCGACAGAGCTGCCAGCACGGCTGGGCTTCAGCAGCCTCCCTCCCCCTCGTGCCAAACCTGTGGGAAGGCACAGGAACAGCAGCTGTCTTTCTATCCAAAGAAAGACATTCCAGCTTATTCCCTCTCTACTTGTGATTTAATTGCAGCGGCGTCGGGGGGAGGTTTAAAACCAATCTTGGAGGTATTTTGCCAGTAGCTTTCCAGTAGGAGTCATGCTTTCAACATCATCTGAATAGTTATCTTGACTCTTGAATTCATGTCTTCTTACCTGATAACATATTATCTGTTTTTATTGAAGGAAACTTCAAAGTCATTTCATGTTTGTGCCTGTGAATCATCAGATGATCCTCTGTTGGAAAACGCTGTCAGGCAAACACAGAAAGAGAGAGAGGAAGGGGGGAAAAAAGGGAAAAAAAAAAAGAAGAATTTAATTTGCTATTACATTTCTGACATTGGACAGAAATTCAAAAATGAGAGAGACAAAGAAATGTATCAGTCATCCAAATGGCACAGGAGCAGCATCAAAGTATTTAAAAATGCAAGTGAATAAAAGTAACAAATACCTCTGCTTAGAAACATATTTGCTGCAGTGCTCCCTGGGGTTAAACACAGAAAAGTGCAGTGCATTTGCTTGAAAAAGTGCTAAGAACAAGTGGTTGATTCCAAGGGCCTCGGACATGCGCTGCAGTTACCCCAGCATCACAAGCCATCACGTGCCTGCACAACTGTGATTGCTGCTGCTGCTGCCTAGGCTCCTAGCCCAAGGCAAGTGCTAAGTAAGGCAGGGTATCTTCAATCTCTTCCCTGGATTTTTTTTTCTGCTTTTGTTATCTTCCTGCAACCTGTACTTGCTGAACAGCAACAGCAATAATCAGAGAAGCCAGGCGTTTGTGAAGTATTCAGGCAAAAAGCATCTTTATATCTGGATGGATCTGATATATTGACTTGATTTAAACTGACAGTGCAAGAGTGCTTGGTATCTAATGACTATTTATGATCTTTTATGCTACTAAATTGACTTCCTTCCCTTTGTCACGTAGAGATGATAAAGGGTCAGGCTTTGTAAGAAACCTATAAATGCGCTGACATTTTTATCACAGAATAGAGGACTACAACAAACAGCTTCTAAAGCAGAAGAGATGATCTTGAGCAAATGCACAGACACTGGAGTACTTAAGGTCTCAGGGCACAACATTCCCATTGAGTTTTCTTCACCAGAAGGTGTGTACACAGGGCTCTGCTACTGCAGTCGGGCTAGCAGGGTTGTTTCAGGGCTAGCAAAGGCCAGAAGATGTATTACCGTGGCTTAGGGAAAAAAAATAAATAAATAGCTCTTTAAAGCATCAGGGACATAGCAAGCAGAATGTCAAGAACTGGCAACAACAGAGTTAAAGCGACATAATGCTCTCAATATATTATATTCTTGGCTAAGTGACTTTGCTTGTGGCTATAATATAAACAGTTGCGGTGCGTTACACCTTCCGAGAATCTCTCTAAGGCCGTAGACAAAGCAGTATAAATAATGGGAACGAGTTCTCTGGAAAAAATAAATAAGTCCCAAAGACCTTTTCCTCTCGGCGAAATCCTGGTTCACTGCTTACTCATCTGGAAGAAATGCAGCACTAAAATTTTACGTTAAGAGCAAATGGAATATGTGAAAGACCTTGCTCACTGATATTGTGAGAAAAAAAAACACGGTTCTTCTCATGGAAATGAGATTTTCCTTCATGGAACACTGTGCTCTGTCTTCAGGGTGAGATTGGCAGGGCTTATAGAGAGCCTTGTGTGACTGAGAAGCTATTCCTTCAGTCCAGACCTCTGTGTCTTTTCTACAAATCTATTTTCTAGCTTGTGCAAAAGACCAGCTCACTCACCCCTCAAATATATGCAGTGACTGCTATGGAGAGGCAAGTCCCCACGCAGGTTGGCTGGATAACAGCTCCACTGTATAGGCCTCTGTCGACTCCTGGTTTACAATGGGCAGAAATCACGTTTTGAAATGAGGCGTGAAAGGCTTTTTAAGAAGATGAAGTCACCCAGAGAGACTGCTCATCTTCCCAAACCCTAACGTGCTACAAGCTCTGTCTCCCAAAACCTCATGGAGCTCATCTGGGTTGGCTTCCACGCTGTTGGGGAGCTTAATTGCTCACATTAATGGGTTGAAATCCACTGATTCGAGGGGAAATAAATTTTCCAATTTAACAAAAATGTAAAAAAATAATGGCTGTAAAACTCAGGTATTTTATACTATCTGTGCGGTAGAACACGAGGAAGTCAGAAGTGACAAATGCTCGCTTTGGTGGGCAACCAGCAAGATCCACTCTTCCATTTAACTAAATGGCAAAAGCTTCTCGGCCAGCTGTTAACCTGATCTGAAGCTTCTCTCTTTCTTATTTCAACTCCTGTTGAAATCAACACCTACCCTGCACTCATAATCGCACAATACTTCGTTCATCCATCGGTCTATCATGGGAACCTAAAGGGTTGTAAAAATATTAGCCAGCTGAAAACTTTCAACATACAGTTAAAGAAGGAAAATATTACCCTCATTAAAAGAGAGGGAAGCTGGGAAAGGGGAAAGCTAAATCACTTAAAACAGAGGCCTACAGGAGGTCTGTGGCAAAAACCCAAAATATGTTTTGGCCTGGGGATTTTTCTTGCAAGAAAGCCTTACGCCTCAATTCAAAATCGAAACAGGTAAAATCCCTCTCACTTCTTCTTGGGTTTGCTTGTTGCTTGTTTGTTTGTTTGTTTTGTTTTTAAGATCCAACATCTAATGCTACAGGTTGTATTGTACCCTCAGAAGCACATGGCAGATGAACAGCCAAGGCAACAGGAATCCCACATGTATATCCTCAAGGAGAACTTACCTACTGGTTCCTTTTTAAATAGTAGGCATTCAGTAGAAAGATCTCTCAAAAATAAAAATATTGGCTAATATGATAGCACCCTTTCTGAGGATTACAAACATAGAAAAACCCCAGGAGTGTCAACATACCCACTGGTGAATATGCTTATTGCTTTGCACACCTAAGAAGAAGAAAATAAAATGTGTTGCCTTCTAGTGTGTGTCTTCCCTTGCTAACCATTAAAGGAATTTGCAATACTTGGCTTGAAACACTGGAGTTAGGGGCAGGGGAAGAAAAAGAAGCCACTTGAAAAGGCAGATTTACCAACTCACCCCTGAATAGCAGTATGTTTGCTTTAAATATTTTGTATTAATATCTTGTGGGGCATGGAAGGAGGTGGGGGGAAGGACTTAAAAAAACAAAACACACATTATTATTAGACATGTGTTAATATATCAGGAGGCATTATACAAGCCAGAGCTAGTGCTGAGGACTCAGTTAATATCACCGCTGACTCCACTCACCTGTGAGCAGCCTGGGGCACTGCAGACAAAAGGCCTCTCCTGCTCCAAGTTCATCTTTGATTCCTCATAAATCTACATGTTAAAAGGAGGAGGGGGAAAGAAAGGGAACCTTTGAATATAAATTCTAGACTTCACACATACGTGCAACATACAGTCTTGAAGTTTAGTGTTTTCATTTCTACCTCCCCAAACAGACCAGAAAGAAGTTCTCATCCTCACATTACTAAATTTGCTAATATTCAGCAGGCTCCCTACAGTCCAAGTTCTTATTACTCCTTCCTGAGCACATATTTACTTTGAAAGAAGAAAAAAAATCCATTAGGCTTTTGCAGCAGAAATCTTGCCTCAGAAAAAAACATATGTTCAGTGTTGTTACTAGATAAGACCATGTCTGCTCAGAAAGATCTGGAATTAAGAATTTTTACCTTTCCTTCTGCAGCTCCTGCTGAACAATATTAAAACCAGGCATCCAGGTTATTCCAGAGAAAGAACCCACTTTTTGAAGTTCTTTATCCATACTCTTCAATAATAATAACTTAAACATATTATATTGTACACACAGTCTGCGCACATGGGACAAATGTCCATCAACATCTTTTAAATGTTCTACCAGATCCCAGAGGCAAACCTGCAGCTGCCCCAGAGCACTTGCAGTTCTCTTATTTTGAACCAAAGCCAAGGGGAACACTCCTGGCTCTGGAATAAACATGGGTTGGAGAAAGCATTTGTCCTCAGAACACAGAAACACAACTGCATTTGGTTCAATATTACAGCAGTGTCCCTGGCTGGAACGGATGATATCATTTATATTATCATTTATAGCACTTAAGAGTAAATCTATCACTTGTTTCCTGAATGTTTTGTGCCTGTTCTTACAAGTGGCATTACAATCCAGCATGTGAGCAGCTGAACCAGCTTAAAGCTCACCATATGTCTTTTGCTTACAGGATGCCTTACAACTCCTGCCTCAGCACAGCCCTGTCTCGAAAAATACTGGATTTGTGTTTGTGTGGGTCTTTCAGGCAAGAAAGGAAAGACAAATATTTTAGTAGAGAACTTGGCTCTAAAGCTGCGAAAAATGGCAGAAAAACAAATGCTAAAATTACTCTACCTTGTTTGTATGTTTATAAACTATAGTCCATTGCTCCCAGTTATCAAGAATACCTATACCATGTTTAATATTTGGTGCCAGAGCAGCTTTACTCCCTCCAAATTTCTAACCTTTCCCTGCAAACAGCAAATACCCTGTGAACATTAACATCAGCACAGACCTGTACTCCCAGCAATCATTTCTTAGTAATGCAAATTCTCCAGTGAAAGAAAAAAAGAAATCAGATGACAAATACTCTCTCTTCTGAAAAATATTCTCTCTTCTTCTCCCCGACTACTTTTTGTTAAAATTTACTCTGGTGGTGGCACTACATTTACAGAATATATTCTACCTACGACCTAAGGAAAAAATAAATAGCAGAGCACCATCTGTGAGTCTCTGCTCACTCCCAGAAATACCATCCAGAGGTGAAGAATGTCTCTATTTTCACTCAACCTTTAACCTGCATGTGGATCCCATCCCCAAAAGGGATAATTAGCCCCAATTGGGGGTTTTTGATACGGACATCTCTACCAAAACCTGGCCTGGGCGCGGTGATGTATTGCCCCAAGCACAATCAGATGGTCAGAAAGACCCTTAACTCAGGTCTGAACTATCTACACAAGACTGGAACTGAAATAACGAAAATTGTACCTAATCTACTCCTTTAAGATTATTCATATCCTGTTTTGCTTTAACTTACATCTATGCTCAGCTGAAATAGGATACTCATAATCAGAAATGAAAGAGTGTGTTCACATACAGGCTTGTACGAAAATAACTAAAGGTGTTAAATTACTTCTAATTTCAGTTATTTCAGTTCCAGCCTGTGCATAGACAGGCGGCTAAGCGGTGAAGCAATAAAAATTCTCCGACTTGCGCTGTGGTGCCTGAGCAAAGCAAGCAGGGTAGAGATAACTGACTAAACCAACAACCTCCCACGAAAACAAAAACAAAACCACCAGCAAGTTTGGATTCTTAAATCCACCTCTAGTTATGGTATGTGACCCTGGGATGTTGTCTTTCCTACAGACCTTTTCACAGGGAACGAAAAGAAAAAAAAAAAAAAAAAAGGAAAAGTTATGTGCAGATAGTGAAAGGCTTTATCTGATATCTCAATTACTGCTGCAACTGAAGCACAGCCAAAGGCTTGTGTTACCCCTCTCTCCTCCTCAGGGGAGGGTGACAACTGCATTTTCAATTGCAGAACAGAGGATGATACCCAGCTAAAGAAAACAGAGAGTTACAATTTGGATCCCAAGTGTGCAAGCAAATTTCAAAACACCGCCAGGAATTATTTTGCTTTTGTTTTCTTATTGACTGGTGAGTACTTCAAATGAAAAGCTTTTTTTTTTCCTCCCACCAGGAGCCTGAGATTTAGATCCCTAAATCCATTCAGGGATTTAGATCCCTAAACTTTGTGCTTTGATAACAGCTCTTGGGGTTATATAAACAAGTGTCAAGTAAGCAGCAAAGTAACAGACCAGATGCAGACTGGAATCCGAAGTGTGGGTGTCCCCCCTCAGAAAAACATGGGCTTGGGTTTTATTCTCAGTACCCTAAATGTCAGATTGGGTGTCTAGGCATTTACCCCAGACCCACAAGCACCTGCCGGCTCCTGCAGGAATCAACATTTGCAGGCAGTTTTCAGAGGCTAAACGTAGGAATGCCGCGATCCAGGAACGGAGATGCACCTCCAGGACACTGGCTAGCTCCCCCGGCCTGTAAAACAGGCTGTGAAAGAGGCAGCGCAGCCTCCTAGAGCCGACTGTGCTGCACTGAGCTGCTCTATGTTACATGCTCTCTGCTCTGTGCTCTATGCTACACGCTATATGCTCTATGCTATATGCTGATAGTGACGCTGGCGCGACCGGCCCCCCGAGGATGGTGAATGATGGAGCCACGGGATGCCTGGGGCGGCAGGGCATCACTGCAGACCGCCTAGGCCAGCCCCAGGCGAGCAGGAGAAGTTGCCCGCTGCGTTTCGGAGCGCTTGGCTGCTCCCAGGCGGGGTTTTCGCTGAGCTTGCCGCCCGTGGCCGCCTCGCGGGCCGCCCCGCTCGGCTCCGGGGGCCTGCAGGGCCGCCGCAGCCCGGCCTGCTCTCCCACAGCACCGGCAGCAGCTCCGCGGCACCTCACAAAAATAAAGCACAGCAACACCTCCCTCCAAGCTCGGGCGCTTATTAACCTTTAAGATCTTTAGGAATTGAAGCGACACTCAGGCTCTTTCCACGGTGCAACGTGTGACTGCCACAATTAACGCACACCAGTGCTACCGGGATCCATGGAGGCTACACAGTTAAAACATTACGCAGGCCTCCGCTTTTGACTTCTCTTTTCAATACCTCAATTTATTGCAGCTTCATGGCCTCTTAAAAGAAGCAAACAAGAATTATAGAAGCAAATGAGCGCCAATATTGATATGTCAGCATTAGTTCTGATACTATTAAAAATAGGCATGAGTGTGTTATGCAGCAGAAAAGGGGGCTGGATTTTAACAGAGATGTTAACAACATCTGCCAGCATTTATTGCCCTATTGTGACCACATAAAGAGCCTTGTTGGCAGAATATATATGTGAGGAAACCTGCTGCACTGCTGTAGCCTGCCATTCTCCTGAAATATCACTCTGCCCAGCAGAGGCTGAGGTATTCTGATTAGAAGAATAAATAAATTAAAATGTAGTAGAAACATGGAAGGACTTCTCTAAGCCATGTTATGTGCAAGGGAAATAAGTTCTGCAGCGAGGCAAGACTTTACTTCTTGATATCCAAACACAATTCTTGTAAGCATCTTCTACAATAATTAACAAAAATGAAGCCCACCGTGAGGAACTCAAGAGCAAAACAAAAAAAAACACATTAAAGAGCAAGCAAAAGAAACAGAACCACCCTCAAAACACAGCAACAAACCACACGCCCTCTCAGCAGCATCCAGAGGGAAGTGCCCTGCACTCTAAGGCTCTTCAAGGAGATTTTACACAGCTTCACAGCTGTGGTTTCTGGACTGAAAAAATAGTTTTAAGAACCGACACCAAGAAGGCCTGCTCCTTTCTGCCGCTCTCCCTTTCTAAACTCAGCAGTAATCTTATTGCCTTACTGCTAAAAACATCAAGCAGCCTTGTTTCCTGTTTCAATGTTATTCTTGAAGTGGGCTGCAGCAAGAATCTGATTTTCATTGGGCTATTATTATTTGCAGCTGCACGACCTTTTTAACCCTCCTTTAAAAGTGACATTTCAGCCTTCAACCTCAAGCTGTCTAAATGGTGTAAGGGGTTCAGCCCTCTGTTTAGCAGTGAAAAAGAGCTGATGGGGAGGTGCACCACATAGAGCCTAACACAGGGCTGGGCAGGGATGCTACCATTCGTATGAGTGCGGAATGATCCTCCTAGGAGCAGCCTCCTTGTTGGAGTTAATTACCTGGGAGCACATTTAGAAGAGTGGTTTCTGCAGGCTGGGGTGACCAGGGCGACTGAGATTTCTGCATGCAGGACAAAATTGCTAGCAGCCTTAGCACACAGACATCAGCACTATAGGAAGCATCACCTGTTTCTTAGGGCTGTGGCCACCATGTACAAGAAGTGACAGGAGATGGGGTTATAACATCCTTGTGACGACTAAAGAACCTCATGAGCATACACAGCATTTTAAAAAGCAAATTATTTGTACTATTAGCATGTAGTTACAGCCTTACTACAATGGTATTAAAACCTGTTGCTTTAGGAAGCGTGGTGTAGGCAGGGTTAACACCTACAGTTGTTCCTAATTTACACTTACATTAGCAAAGCCGGGTTTAAGTATCCTTGCACTGAAGCTGTGTATGGTGTTTTTCTTCTGCACGGGCTGTTCAGTCCAAGGGCTGTTTTTTTAAAGCTAGTACCATGCTTTCCACATGCACACACTCATCCCCACGGCTTCGGCTGCACAACGAAGGGTCTGTCAGCATTGCCGTTGGAAACTCCCTCGTTTCAGGATTAAAGCCTTT